TGGGAGGCTGGGACAGGGGGACGGTGACATGGTGAGAACTTGTCAAAACATAACTCTTTCTTTCTCTCTCTCTCTTTTTTTCTCTGACTTTATGCCTCCCACTTCACTCCCTCAGTCTCTCTTTCCTACCCATTCATTCTCTCATTTAAAATAAAAACAAAACAAAACTCTCTACTTGGGGTAAGGGTCAGATGAATTGTGAGTAGTGAGTAGTGTTTAGGGTAGAGTGAAGGAGGTTTGTTCCTAGTAATAATATTAGAAATTGCCTTTAAAAATAAGTCATGAGATTTACCAGTTATACCAGATCTTAAAAATTTCTTAAAATCAGTAATAATTAAAATGAGATATTTCTGGTATAGAAATATAAGCCTCGGTTATTAAAAAAGATCAAGTAGATTAGAATTTTATGCATTCTAAAGGAAACATAACAAAACAATGTTAAAATGAGAACTATTTAACAGGTTGCATTTAGACAATTTGGCTTAATCAAAATTAAAAACTTGGAAAAGACCTTTGATGCAAAAATATGCCAAATTAGGTAACAGATCTAAAGAAGCATCTAATACATGAATTTGAATGAATAAATTCAAAAATGAAATGATTATATATCAAAATATGGAAAAGAAAGCTGGCAAACAACACAGAAGTGTTTTAAAAAGATGAAGAAGAATGTATTTTGTTATATACAATTTTTAAATCTCATGCCAATAAAGTAAAAACTGATTAATAAAATAAGCAATTTTGACAGTTATTCTTAGAAGGAATGATATATAGCTTTGTATGCTTATTTATATCTGAATTGTGATCTTAATTATATCTTAGTTCTAATTAAAATCCCAGTTTTTAAGAAGTCTGGAATATAAAAATGTACCCAATATGAATTACAAATAGTAGACAACATATAGAATAATGTCACTCAGCCATTACTAAAGACGTGATAAAGAGCTAAACATTCTTACTTAATAATTTACCAAAATATTAACAGTGTGTCTGTTACCTTGCTCGTTCCCTTACAAAATGAAACAATTGTTTTCTTTTTTTCTATTTTTAATTGACATAAAATAATTGTACATATTTGTGGAGTGTGATACAACTTTTGCCGTATACAAATACAATGTATAATGATCAAATTGAGATAATTAGCATACTCATAACCTCAAACATTCATCATTAATTTGTGTTGGGAATATTCAAAAACTTTTATTAGCTGTTTTGAAATATACGGTGAGGGGCTAGTTAGTGACCTGGTGGTTAAGGTGACTGGATCCCATGAGGCCAACTTCACAGTTTGAATCCCAGATCTGGTGGTTTGAAAAAAAAAGATGTGTGTGTGTGTGTGTGTGTGTGCCCAAATTCCTGAGAAGAGAATGGAGAAGAGAGGATTGCAATATGGCCGTCTACCCTAAGGGGATGCTTTCTCACTTTCCTTCTCTCTCTAACTGTCTCTCTCTGGCAAGTGGCAAGCTCGTACCCCCCTATAGCAAACTAAAAAAAGATAGAAAAAGAAGGAAAAAGAAAAAGATACAGTAAATTATTGCTGACTATAGTTACCCTCCTCTGCTAAAGAATACTAGAACTTGTTCCTCTTATCTAATTGTATTTTGTATCCAATAACCAATATCTCCCTCTCTTCTACCCCGCTTCCCAGCCTCTAGTAATCACATTCTACTCTCCGCTTCTATGAGGTCATTTTTAGTTTCCACGTGTAAGTGAGAATCCATTGTGTGTGTGTGTGTGTGTGTGTGTACACATGTGTGTGCGTTTTCTTGATCTAATCATCTGTAAAGAAAGCTTAGGTTGATCCCATACTTTGGCTACTGCGAACAGGGCCACAGTAGTCATGGGAATGCAGATATCCCTGTAATACACTGACTTCAGTTCCATGAATAGGTGCTTAGTAGTGAGACTGCTAGATCGCATGGAAGTCCTATTTTTAATGAATTCTTGAAAATAGTTTCACGATGTGCTCTAAGCTATAAAATTTACATTACTTGAGCACGTTAGTGAATTTCTGATATTCTATACTGAAGAAATAATTTAAAATAATGATTAAAAATCTATGTATATGAAGATATACATCACTTCATTATTTATAGCAATAAAAAATTAACCTGAAAATAAATGAATGGTCAATGGAATAATATGCAGCTATTCATAATAAAGTTTATAAAGGATTTGTAGCTAGCCAGTGGGTGGCATAGTGGTTAAGGTGCTAGATCCCACATGGCTGACTCCACAGTTTGAGTCCCGGACATAGCAGTTTGTGCATGTGTGCCAAAAATTTCAAAAGGAGAATGGAGAAAGGATTGCAGCATGGCCATCTCTTTTGAGAGTGATTTCTCACTTTCTCTCTCTTTTTGACTCTGTCTCTCTCCTGCAAGTGCACATGCTCTGTTGAAAAAAATGCGGCTTAAAAAGAATATGAAAATTGGTATGTTATAATACAAAATGAAAAGATATATACCATGTTACATGACTGCAAGGATATAAATACACATAAATGACTGAAAGATAGTATACAAAGATATTACTTGCTAAATTGAGGTGACAAAATTGTGAATCATGTTCTTCTATTTCTAAATTTTCTAAAATAGTATAGAATAGCTTCAATAGCATCATGCATCTTCTATCGCATTAGCTGTAGAAATATTGGCCTGAATGGGTGGCAGCATTAAATTTCTCCTCTGAATTTCATAGCATCCATAAACGTTTTCAAATTGTATACAGTTCTCTCAGACGCTGAGGATAAATGGCATATTTACTCTACTTAAATCAGAGAATTGGAATATCGGTTATGAAAGATTTTCAAAGGCACCGTATCTCTAACTGCAGCCACACATCTTGTAAAGATTATTCGACCTGTAGAAAAAGAACAGAACTTCTTAGGATTAATCAGGATTCTAAAATTGATGCTTTAAAGTTAATTTGATGGAAACTTAACTGCAAGAAAGAAAGGTAAAACAGTGCACACAATTATGTAAGCATTTCAGAGTGTCTTCTGGTGGATGATATTATAAAAGATGTGCCATGTTTATCGTATAATGGATAGTCCTCAAAATACCATTCTCCAACATTGTATTATCACTTTATCAAAATCCAAAGGTTAGATGAATGAAAGAACACTTTCATGTCTCAGATTTTCATGTTCAACATACAGCTGCATAAACCATGGGGATTCTTGATGAAATGTCCTCCAGCAGTTTTTATGCAGATGGCAGAATATAAATGCTTTGTTACGGACGTATAAACACATGCTTTGGCTTCGTGACAGAGAGTGATGTGGAGCCAATCTGCAGAATCAGCCTGTGTGTGTTTCTCAAGTGGGAGGCAGGGGAAAGATTCCACATAAAAACATAGAGCCACAAGCTTCTAAGAAACAGTTCAATTGGTATCCAGCTGGAGCTTTCTACTTTACATGGATGCTGAAGTGTTTCCTTTCTTGGCTTGGACGAAGTGTATTATAAATCACTTTGCTTCAGTCCTCCTGGATATAATGAAGCCAGGGAGTGGGTGTAAATGCAGAGGGAATGAGTGTTTAGGCTCTACAAGAATTACTCCATTTTGTTGTAGAAAACAGCATGGAGTAGCCCAGCCTACCAGGGTCTGAAGGAACATTGGAGAAGCTATATGCATCCTGGCTGGTTTTGTTTGTTTTAGGTTTTTGTTTTTGTTTTCCAATGGAAAAAGAGAATGAGAGAAAGAGAAAGCAACCTCAGTAGGGTTCCTTTATGCACAATTTCCTTTTCCAGGCCTTCAGGTCCACAGGGCACTTGATATGTTTTCAGGCTGACCTGGGGATCCAAAATAAAGCTGACCATGTGTCTCCCAGCACTGCAGGCCTGTATATTGCACCACCCATCTGGGCCATTGCTAATTTTTTTACAGAGCTATGTCATCTGATGAAAACCTCAGCCTTTTCAGCCCACTAGAGTCTTGCTTCCCCCCCCCAAAAAAAAACCATTATTTGCATTATTATGACACTAGCCTTGTGATAGAGGCTACATTCACAAAAAGCAATTTCCAAGTAAATCAGGATTCTGATGGTGCATCAGTTACTGCTGAATCATCAGATTCCTTGCTCAGATGTTGAGGAATGATTCAGTTCTTGAAGACATGGATGAATTTCAGTCCAAGAAATACCTCTTCCAACCTTGAAGATGGAATTGAGATCACTAAAAACTTGACTATATAGCTATCATCATAAAGTATAAATATGATTTTAAAACCCAGACATATGTTACAGTAAAAAAAATTAAATTTTTTTTCAAATAAGATTCACAAAATTAAATTCTTCGTCCCCATGTCCAAACCTGTTTTTCCTCCATTTATTTGCCTTCTTAATTCTGTAATGGCCCCATAACCCTCCAAGTTACAGAAGTCTCATAATGAGTACCCAGTACCTCAGTCTTTTCTTCCACCTTCTCTTCCCTTTTCACACATCCCCAGTCATTGCCCAAGCACTCAGCTGTTCAAGGGCTCTTACGTGTTTTCCCCGCTTCTGTCTGAGGCCCTTACAGTCCCTCGTATATGCCATTCCATGTATCAGCTACTCTTTGATCTCTATTCATACAGCTGAAAGGGTCACCTCAAAACATATTCACTAACACATTCAAAAACACCTCTGATAGCTCCACAGGCACATTTCTTCCCTGACATCAACACCCACCACGATGATGATACAACAGCGCCTCTCAACGTCATTGCCCTCCATCTTAACTCTCTCTTAAACAAAAGTGCCGTCCTGCTTCAGTGCTTTTGCTCAAACTTGCAAATTTCCCAAAAATATCTCCTCCAAGCCACCGATTCTGAACAGTTTGACCTCTGGCATCACATTTTAGAGCACCCGACCTTTCATACATATGTGTCCCCAACCTGATTTAAAAAAAAATTTCAGACGAAGATTATTATAATAGTCCTGTCACAAAGTTTCCAGCTCACTGGCTAAAACACAGTAGACACTGTTTGCTAAATGCCTGATGCTCGTCTCCTTTCTTTTTCAGTGGCACCTCCACCCTATAGTTACGACCACGAGATGGAACATTGTGCAGACCTGCCTCCTCCGTACTCCCCAACCCCACAGGTTTCAGCACAGCGTTCGCCACCCCCTCCTTACCCTGGAAATTCAAGGAAGTAATCCTTCTCTCACAACAGAATACGGACCAGTCCATGCTCTTGTCTGGAATAAAACGCCTCAGCTCAGAAACAGGCAGGAAAGGATTGTTCTGCAGAGTACTCTTTGGGGTGAGAGCAGCATGTCAGGTGGAATGTTCACACTGACAGGTGTAGGGTCCTGACCTGCTCAGAGCTGCCTTATCCAGAGTATCATTTGTTTCTAAAGGACCACATTTTAGGGAATTACTGATCCATGTAAGCACATTCAAAGAAGAGACATGAGATTCACAAAGCACGTCATAATTACATTTAAGGACTAGATGAAGGAATTTCAATACTGATCTTACAAAGGAAAAGACGTAAGTAAAACAGAATAGCCTGGCCTACATAAGGAACCAACCTTATGTAGCTTTACAAGTCAGAACTAGAATTATTCTTTCACTCATTGATAAATGCATATTGAGTGCCTGAGAACTCACTGTGTGCCTGGCATTGAGGCACTAGATGGATGTTACAGAAGGAAACTTGGCTTTCAGTAGAAGAGCAATTGGAGTTTTCTTACTAACTAGGTTGCATAGTGAAGCTCTCTGTTACAAGACTTCACACAGAACCTGGCTGACTATCTGATAGAGAAATGCTCTAGAGGGACTTCCAAATTAAATAGTAGATGGCTTGATCGGGCCTCAAAATTTCTACTCGTGTTTTCAGTAGATGGGAAGTGAACCTCTCTGTCTCCTAAAGTGAAAATAACAGGAATAGTTAAATCATGTTTCTAATTAGAGAGTAAGAGCAGGACCAAAGGACTTGACAGCTTTTTGAAGGAAGGAACTCTTCAATACTAGCCACCCAGAAATCATCTGCCTTTACTTAGTGAATCAGGACCAAAGTTAAATTTCCACAGGCAACAAATACTTCACTTCAGAGTAAAAGATGAGAAGTCACATATTTCTGAGAGATTTCAGGTTAGGGTGCAAACTCTCAGACTTTGACCATGAAGATAGATCAGAGGCTTACAAAAGAAGCCATGGAAAAAATAAAGCTCGGATTCCCTTCCATGGAATTTCATTCAAATGTAGCTTAGACAATTTTTTTTGTCTCTTAATAAAATTTTAATAATCTACTATCTTAAGAAATATATATAATTAATGAAAAAGATTAAGATACTGACATCAAATTGTTGCCTTATATCAAAATACAAAGTTTATGAATGAAGTGCCTACCTTTAGAAGTAAAGACATTGAATAAATATAATGTGCCATATTTTGCTGCCAGCGACTGTACCATTTATATTTTTATGTGTCCTTTTGTGTATTTAAAATGTATATATGGTCTGGCTTTGAAGCCTAATGATTAAGGGAACAGAATCCTCTATGTCCAGCCTCAGTTTAAATTCTGGCCCTGGTGGCCTGGAAAACATGCTAGGCATGTGTGTATGCATGTCCAAAATCCCAAAAGGAGAAATGGAGGAGAAGGAATTATAGCATGAATATGTCCCATTTTTTTTTCCTCCCTCTCTCTCTTTCTTTGGCAAGGGCACATGCCCCCTGGTCATTAAAAAAAAAATTATATATTGAGCATTGGGACCTGATGCTTGAAATTTTGTGTCACTTTACAATTAAATCTAAAATGTTGACTCCAATAACATCATAGTTCAGTGAAACCACAAAATGATATCAAGAATTCTGCTGAATAAAATAATAAAAAGAAATGCCTTAAGGTATAAATTACTGTATCTGAACTTGTATCAATAGTTAGGAAACTTAGTAGTTACAAGTAACATGTTTTATTTGCAAATTCCAACACCAGAATATATAATGGTCTCATTTCAGTAGAGTTTAAGTACCCATGAGGTCCAAGTCTGGATTCAGACTGGCCCATGGTGCTGTGGTTAAGTGCTGTGAGTTGACAGCTGGATCCCATACTGCTGACTACAATTCAAATACTGACCTGGTGACTTGAAAAACATGCTAGATGCATTTGTATGCATACCCCAAAGAACACCCTATTGGAGTGCACTTTCTCTCCCTCCCTCTCTGACTTGTACACATGCCCTCTGGCAATTAAAGAGAGAGAGAGAGAAATACTTTCTGTATTAGTTGTGAATGATTTGCTTGATCTGGGGGCATTGATGATTTTCTTAGTTATGAAGATGCAAAACCTTTAGCTGTTCTAGTCTATTCAAGTGAAGGCTCCCTGATTCAAGTGATGTGTTAGCACAATTTTAATAGTACATATGCTTTAATTTATTTCTTTTCTGCAAGTGTGATCAGACCCAATTACACTGCAGCTATGACACTCAAAGTGCCAGGGTTTCTGTAACTTTTGTGATTTTTGAGAATGTTGGTTGCAAATGTGCCATATATTTCTTAAGAAAAACGGAGAGAAAAGACCAGTGAAAATTTAATTCTCTTCATCTTAACCATCAATAAACATTTATTGTGTTCTTCCAATAGTCTGCATAGATTATTCACCTAGACACCATTGCAATGCACGCCATCTCTCTTCTTTGAGTTGTTTATGGTCTCACTTAAAGTATATCACAAGCCCATACACCTACAATAGATGAGTATTTGTGCTCTTTGTGTTTAGTGTCATAATAGAGTAAATGTGCACATTAGCAGTATAGACTTTTGGAGTTTGCTGATTGTTTTCATAGTAATGGTTCCTGGAGAAAAATAGTATGAGATGTGAAACTCTGAATTGTTATTTAAAAACTAACATATTTGCTGTGGCCAAAGTGTTTACAATAAGCAATAAAATGAGAGAACCCATTATAAACAAGGGTTCTATTTTAATTGTCTTGTGTCCGTCTCTTTCACCCTCCATTTCTGCTGACATAGTCCCCTCATTGTTCTGTGCAAGAAACACAGGACGGGAGCCAGAAAGACTTTGTTTTGAATCCTGTATCCTGCCTGTGTGACTCTGGCAGGCTGTTTCAACTCTCTGAGATTTAACTTTCTGATTTGGAAAATAGAAATATTATAATTGTCCTCATCAGGTTTTGCAAAAATTTAAGGAGTACATGCAAAATTCTAAATATAGTGTCTGGCACATAGAGAATGTCTACAAATATTAGTCAAAAATAAATTAACAAATGAACAATATAATAAGAATAGCCTCTAAAACTGTCCAACTCTGCTTGTTTAAATTTAAATCAGTTAAAGTTATACTTAAAATTTCAGTCTTCTGATTCTCATTCAAGTGTCGTATAGACTCATTGGGCTACTGACTACCTTACTGGGTAGCGCTACTCTAGAAAAATCCTCTGTGGAAAATGCAGTGAGATACCAGAAAAGCATTGAAAACAAACACATGTGCGCACACACACACTCAAATCTCCTTCTTCAAGAGAAACTGTGGTCTTTGTTGATTGCAATGTCCTTCACTAGTAAGTATGAAGAGGCAGCAAGACTGATTAGCCTGAGCCTCACCTCTCCAAGGAGAGGCTCACTTCTGCTCCTTCAAAGGCCTGGTGTGGGGAAGCTGTTGCTAGGGTCAATAATAGGAAAGAGACCTTAGGGGACCAGCAGATGGTATAATGGTTACATCACTGGACTCCCACTTAGTTGATGCAGTTCAAGTCCCAGACCTAGTGGCTTAAAACTCATGCTGGGAGCTTGTGTGTGTGTGCCCAAAATCCTGAAAAGAGAAGAGAAGAGAAGGGATTACAACGTGGCCATCCCCCCTGGTGGTGATTTCTCGCTTCCTATCTCTCTGTCACTCTGGCGAGCACACACACCCTATATATAGCAAAAGTCTCTCTTCAAAAGAGAAGAGACTTTGGACTTGGTTTTGGAGCTGGTGAAGAGCTACAGCCTATTTTCAGAGTCTAGTTGATTTTATAACGGCCTACTCATCTCTAAAAGTTACTCCAAGAGCATTCAGGACTACCCAGATCTTCCTACCATGCACCACTGCAGTGGCCTTTCTGTTTTCTCCTAATCATATTCCCACCATCAGATGAAAGCAGCACCTAGCACACATTTCCTATATGCCCAATGTGTCCATGGTCAGCCAAACCCACCTTGCCAAATTTTGGTTGTAACTGAAGTAGAATCTGGCACACTTCAGACTATATATTGAGCCTATCAAATAGTGGAGCTCTGGGTGTCATAATTTTAAAACAACCTAATACCAGCATATCGAATTCACATTATCTCCTCGGTAATTACCATGGAGGATTCTAAAGACTGTCAGATCCTCAGTCAGAACCTGCTTGAAATGTGCCATTCTTCTTTTTCTGCTTATGGGTCCAAACTGCACAGGATATGGCTAAACTCGTAAGCTCAGTACTCTTCTAGTGCCACCCCACTTTGCGGTGCCAGGAAAGTGAAGTGACATGCTAATTTGAAAAGATCCACAGGCAATTATGATTTTCACTTCCACCCCTGCCTCTAATGCAGATGAAAGAACCAGGACTTCAAAGTAAGAGAGACTTCGGTTTCTCAACTATCATATTCTAACTATATGTACTGAATCCAGTAACCAAATATGTGAATAACATCATACTTGCCAGATTGTTGCAATGATTATAAACTGTGTGTAGAATATCTGTCACACAGATCCTGTCTGGGTTGACTCAAACACAAATATATATACATATTCTTTCCAAATATATATACATACTCTCCAATATGTGTCCCACTCCCAAGTCTTACAACTTCTATAATGCAGTGTGTTAGTTATCCATGGCTGTATAACAAATTACCTCAAATTATTGAATAATTGAAGCAATAATTATTATCTTTGTTCCTATACATCAGGAATCTGATCATGTCTTACCTGGGTCCTTTGGCTCAGGGACTTTCCCTGGCTGATGTCATCTTAATGTGCTGCTGAGCAAAAATTTGCTTTAGAGCTCACTTCCATGCACAGTGGTTGACAGTGCCTTGAAGGCTTTGGGGCCAAGAACCTCATTAACTCACTGGCCATTGGCCAGAAGCCACCTTTAATTCTTTGCCATATGGGCCTCTCCATAAGATACCTTAAAATATGTCAACTTGCTTCCCCAGAGAAGGCAAGAAAGAAGAGCCAAAGAGAGTGCTTGCAAGAATGATAGCAAGGCAGGAGTTACTGATGTGTGGTGACTAATCTTGGAACAAATGTCCCATGACTTTGGTCATATTCTGTTCCTTAAAATCTGGACCCTAGGTTCAGTTCACACAAGGGGCTAACAACAAACTCATGGAAACCAAGAAGAGAGAACTTTTAAAAATCACCTTACTAGTCAGTATACCAGAGCAAAGATATTTTATCTCACTGTCCTTTAGTTCATTATTTGGAGTTAAAGCAGTATAGAAAATATCTTCTCTCTAGCAGAAATTTATCAACTCAACAGCTGAAATACGCCCAGGGCCATGCTTACCTATGATCAAATTCCTTTCACTGACCTGGCAAGAATAGAGTATAGCCAGTAACATTTAAGGGCTGTACTAACTGGGCAAGTGTTAAGTTTTAATAGCAGAAGGATATACACAGGGTTTAGGTTTCTCCTCAACTTCACTATGAGCTGTACCTGAAAGCACATCCCTTTTGGCAGGGATTGAAATATGCCACATACTACATACCTTTGTGGACAAGTCTTAATCCCAGTCCTAAACTTTGTTTGAACTTTGTTCCAAGATATTTAATTCTCATCAAGAATTTCAAAACAAGTTTCCAAATGGGTATTCAGTGTGTCAAGTTCCTTCCTAACCTACCTGAATGCCTTCACTAAACATGGAGAAATAGTCAATCCAAGGAAGTGATTGAGTATGCAGAAGCATGTGTTAGGAATGCCTTCTCTCTCTCCTCTCCTTTTTGTTTTAAGAGATCTTTGCCATAGGGCATTCTCACTCACTGTACAAAGAGGCAGAGATGGTGAGAGGGAAAGTGAGAAATCATCCTCTAGGGGAGATTGCCATGCTGCAATTCCTTCTCCATTCTCCTCCAGAGATCTTGGGCATGCATGCACAGACTTCTGTTGTGATATTCGAGCCACTGGGTCCAGGACCCAAACAACAGTTGGCCATGTGGGAGTCCAGTAACATAACCACTATGTCATCTGCTGGCCCGATGTGTTTACCTTTTCTTTATGTTAGGTAAATTATCTTTTTAAAATGTATTTGTTATTATATTTTTATGTTACATTTAATCACGTATATTTTTTTCTTCATTTTATTTTTAAATTTTTCCACAAACATTTACTTTACATATCAAAAAAATTTTGCTCATATTCCATAGTTCTTGACAGTTAATAAACAACTTTCAAAATTTCAAAATACTGAATTTTAATGACAATGTTCAAATACTTCTTATTATTTTGTATAATTTTGTTTGTGACTCTATAAAAATAGAGACAGTATGGTTTTAGACATTTCTCAAAAACATTTACATGTCAACTACTCATATTGTTGAAAAGCAGATGCCCAGCACAGAAGTCACACATAAGCCTTCTCAGTTCAGCCCTGTCTACCAAGTA